AGGATCAAGGCTACAGGACGTTTGGCAGGAATAACCAAACACTTCGCTCTAGGTTGGCAGGAATACCCAACTTTGAGCTCTCTTCAGCCAAGATCAGGATCTAGGCTGAAGAGGTTGGCTGGAAAAATCAACATTTACTTCTCCTAAGCCAAGATAAGGATCTGGGCTGTAGGAAGTTTGGCAGGAATAACCAAACACTTTGGTTCTAAGTTGGCAGGAATAACCAACTTTGAGCTTTCTTCAGCTGAGATAAAGATCCAAACTGAAGAGTGGTTGGCTGGAAAAACCAACACTTAGTACTCTTCAGCCAAGATAAGGATCCAGACTGAAGGGTGGTCGGCTGGAAAAACCAACACATAATACTCTTCAGCCAAGATAAGAATCCAGGCTAAAGAGTGGTTAGCTGGAAAAACCAACACTTAGTACTCTTTAGCCGAAATAAGGATCCAGGCTGAAGAGTGGTTGGCTGGAAAAACCAACACTTAGTACTCTTCAGCCGAGATAGGATCCAGGCTGAAGAGGTTAGCAGGTATGACCAGATAGATTTCAAGATTAAGACCGAGATAGGTATCTCAGCCAGAAAATGTTATACCTCCTTCAGATTATAGTTGGAAAATAAGTGCAAGCATGGAGTAAACCGAACAAATAGTTGAAACAAAAGAAGCTTTCATTCAAAGGTCAAATCAAAGGTACAAAAGGTGGGCCTCGGCCCGATTACAAACTTTTTTGTTAAACAAGGAAAAGAAAAAAATCAAGAAAAGAGGTCGTCAAGATCTGTATCCAGATCAACTCGAAGCCCGGTATCAGCAGGTAGCTCGGTCACGTTGTCAACCAAGTCTTCCACCAGTGGCTCCACCCGAGCTGACTAAACAGCAGGATCATTGACGGCTGGGGCGTTGTTGGGATCAGATTCTTCTTCATCATCCTCAACTTGAAGAAATTTTTGTTTAATGGCATGGGCGTACTCCGCCATGTAGCTCGGTATGAAATGTGGAGGAGGGTTCAGGAAGACCTCGGTCTCTTAGCCATGACCGAGCTACGCCACGGCTGCCTTCCACCCACATTTAAAAAATATATCCTTAGCAACTTCGTACTGCTGGATATAAGTGGCTTCGCCCTCCTTGTAACCGCGGTCTTCCGTGTCTTCTATCTTCTTCTCTAGCTTGGTTATTTCGTTGCTCTTCTTCTTCTCGACCTTAGCCAACTTACGCAAATAGCAGTCCTTCAACTTGGTCAAAGCCTTTTGCTTGTCCGCCTCCGCCGAGTCGACTAGTTCGGTGAGTCGAGCGACCTCTAATTGTAGCTCGGTTATTCTTTGTTTGGCCTCGTTTAACTCAGCCGTCTTGCTGTCGGCCTCAGCCACGGCCAGCCTTGTTGTCTTGCGCAATTCCAACACTCGCTTATGCGCAATGTGGTTTTTCTGCATGGCCTGCAAAAGGAGAGATGGCAAATATGAGTAAAAACCGAGCAAATAGATGGTACAAAATAAAATACGATTAGAAGGAGTACTTACCAGCACCATTGACTTCGTCGCCGACCGGATGGCCTTTAGCTCGGTCAAATGTTTATGATGTTTCATATCAGGGGGCAAGCACACGCTCTTAGCCATGTTGAAGGTGAGCGTGTGGTCTTTGTCAGCCACCACTGAATCTGTGTCTCTGATGGCTCGGTTGCGATAGGATAATTTTGGTGCCCATTCAGAAGAGCTAGCCCGGTCAGAACACTCAAGCTGGGGGCTCGGTGGCGTGGTTTGGGTAAGCACTATTTCATCCTCATCAACAAGGCATAGCTCGGTGGTGGAAGTCCGAGCACGCTTGCTTGGCCGGGATGAGGACGGCTGAGCAGTTTGAAGGGTTACCACAGCCGGCTGTGTTTGACCGACTTGAGGTACCTCGGGTTGGTTTGTCTCGGTGATAAAGGCCCTTACTGCTCTCTTCTTAGCCATTTCTTGTTCTGCAGTTAAAGGGATCAGGTTGATTTGAGGCAAGGTTGGATCTGGTTCTGGCGAAGGCTCCAATAGAAAGTCTGTCACCCTGGTCTTTTGCCTGCTGTTGTATCTGTACGTTGGCTCAAAGTTGAGTCGCTCGGCCCAACCTCGATTGGGATATCTCAGTGCAGTGCGGAGTGTGTCAAGGTTGGGGTAACTGTACAGCGACTTTAGATGGTTCAAGTCTGCATAAAGGAAAAAGACAACGGTTAGAACAGTTAAAAATAAGAACAACGAAGTAGAGAAAGCACGACAATGAGCCGAGGTATTTATACCGGCGACTCCTTTGTTCCAGTTAATTTGGTCGCCTGGGATCTGGGCCTCCTGGTCTTCAAAATTCCCAGAAACTTAGAAAAAATCATCGTCATTTACATCATTATCTGGGGTGTTCTTTACTATCTTTTCTCGGCGGCGTCTTATTCTTAAATAATAAACCCATCCATCTTCGTTCTAGCCTAGAGAGTACTGGTGAAATAGCTCGGCCAAACCGAGGTTGAGGCCAAGCCGGCGGTTTAGCTCGGCGATGCCATTTATTATCCTATATGAATTGGTGCTAAGCTGGGTAGGGCAGAGTCTGGTTTGTCTGAGGAATTCACAAAGAAAGGGCTGTATGGGGAATCGGAGACCAGCCTCTACGATGGAAATAGCGTTGAAAGGGACGAAGCCCGATTTTTCCCAAGGAATGGTGTCTAGTTTGGCTAGTGAGAGGTGGACGTCGTCTGGAATTTGGTAATCCTTTCGGAACTCGGCTATGGCTCTTGGAGAGTTCACTAAAAATCGATACTTTCCCATGTGGCCTTAAATTACGTATAATTTAGCTTGGTGTTGAGATGACCTTCAGTATCTCGGTTGAGCGTGCAAAGGTGTGCCTGGCCAACCTAAGTCAGTCTGCAAAGTGCAAAGGAAAAGTGTTAAGCACAGATCGATGGACCGTGCTAAAAGTACTGAAGGTAAAATAAATATTGTCTTAGCCCGGCTACGTGGGACACTGTTCATTCTTAGCTCGGTTTGAGCGAGGGACTTTAGGTCAGTTAAGTAAATAAGAAGTCCGTAGCTCGGTTGAAACTTATGGTATAGCATTCTTAGTTCGGTTTTGACTAAGGGAGCTGGTTTAGTCCCAAGTTATAGCTCGGTCAGTGGTTGAGGCTTTTTAGCACGGTATTGCGCGAACCTAATACAGTTCGCTAGCTCGGCTAAATGAAACAGAAGGTGATTAGACCTATTGAAACTACAGGTGCGGCGTGAAGTTTTAGTTCGGTTGTGCCTAAGCCTTGAGTTGCCCAAACAGGTTTTTAGCTCGGTCACACCACGATTCTAGATTCAAACTTCATGTTTTTTGAATCCAGAGGGTGTGTTCTTAAAACCTGTGGTTTGGGGGTCTAGTTTTTGGTGCTATCTGTTCTTCCCATTATCATCAAAACTACAGAGTATGTTTTCTAATGTATATGAGTATATATATATCCATATTATGTATATATTCGCAAGATGAAAGAAAAGAAATAGGAAATGGGATTGAGTTACTTACAAGTATGGAGACGAGTTGATGAAGGTCGAAGTCGCAAGGGAGAGCTTCGCAGGTACTGAGGTTGCAAAAATGGAGGCTCAAGCAAAAGAGAGAGAATGATGAATAGTAGAAGTGGTGGATTCAAAGCATAAGGGTTTTTGTTTAAAGCGTATGGAAAAGACGGGACTGTTCAAAATACGCGAAGTACGAAGACGGCTGGGACAGCTGTGCTTGACCAATGGGGGTCAGCCATGTGTCCATGGAATAGAAAGCGATTCAGTTTTGCAGCGACTGAAAAGACGTTTTTGACTGAACTGTTCGATAGCCCAGCGGTGTTTTAGCACGGTTGAAAGGCTAAGGTTCTTAGCTCGGCTGGTGACAGGTAATCCCAATCATGCTACGCAAACGGAATTAAGGGGCAATTAAGAGGGAGTTTTTATGTGCATTGGGGCCGAGCTAGACCAAGGCATGGTAAATGGGCCGTTCTTTAGGCCATGGTAAAAAGAGCTTAGCAAGTGGACCGCGGTCCAAGTGGTAGCTCGGTCTAAGTGTGAAAAGGGCTCAGCAAGTGTTAGCTCGGTCCAAGTGTGATTATAGTCATCACAGTCGGAGTAGAGATAGTTAGCTCGACCATAGCATTCGGAGCCGAGGCATGATGGCTTCTCATGGTGAACCTCGCTTTGATTAGCGCGATCAAAGCGTGCTGAAAATTAGCTCGGTCTGAACAGGCAACCGAGGTACAAGTGAACAAGAGCTGAGCTATGAGTTGCATGTGAAGGCGTAGGATTAAGTATGACAAAGTGCTAGTGTTAGCTCGGTCATACCTTCATCCAACCAAAACAAAACCATCTCACTTGGTTTAAGCAGTAAAGGGGGCGTTGAAGGATGGAGTTTTCACCAAAACAAAACCATCTCACTTGGTTCATTCCTAAAAAGAGTTTTCACCAATGCCCCTCCCTCCATTAAAGCATCTGGAGTTAAATTCACCCTATCTGTAACATCTCCAACAGCCCAAATGGATGGAACTGATGTACGGGGAGAACTCATCAACCTAAAGAAACATTCAATAGAAAGCAATACAAGGAAACACACCAGGTTGAAGAATTAGAGAGAGATAAAGAGATAAAGTGATAAAAGTAAAAGAGAAGTCTAAAAACCAAAGACACTATCTCTATCGCTCCATTCTTTGCCATTTTTACCCCTACCTTCTCCAACCCCAAATTCTGCAATGGAATAGGAGTCCATGTATCAATCATCGAAAATTGGTTAAGTATACACATTTTCAGCACAGAATTCATATAAGCTCTATTAAGAAATTGTACGACTTCTCCATGCTAGATCACTTTCCAACTTTATTAGGTTACCAATTTCTGAGCACCGAGTCAAAATTTGAAGTAAGAAAAAAATGATGACAGGGAGGAACCATGACCACAAGGCCTTTGCAGAGAGAAGACAACCACAACATTAAAAAATCAAACCTTCGTATTAGGCTTGTGGCCTGTTGCAAACATAATATGAGAAAAACGTTCAACTGTTCCTTTGTTAGTTTTCAAAGATAGTGAACCATCTGCCGATTTAAGGATAGCCTGAGGTGACTCCTCTGTGTGAAATTCAATCCCTCTTAGAGACATCTATTCTGCAACAAAATCTCTGACCTGTGGCAATCAAAGAATGCAAGATTTGTAGCATGAGGAGAAACTTTTGTCCAAGTATGACCAACCAACTACACTAATGTTGTTTGTTATTCCTCATCTCCTCATCAAAACCTCTCAAAACCTTTTTCTGTCGTATGAATACATGGACGTCACTTCTCAAACCATTAAAGATACCAGCAAACTCAAGTGCAATGTAAACTCCCCCAACTATTGCGATTTTTTCAGGTCTTGAAGGCAAATCAAGGGCTGCATCTGAATCTATTGCATATTCACTTCTGGGAATTTTAGGAATGGAAGGGCGTCCCCCAACTGCAACTAGTATGTGCCTTACCGAGTAGAGTTTCCCATCTACATCCACGGTGCGTGGGTCCACAATCTGTGTATACAGTCATACAAGTCAATGCAATTGTTACAAAAACAATGAAATGTCAATACATGTCAATGGAATTTTTTCCACAAATACTACCCTAAAATGTTATTATGGGCCACACAACATCCAACCTTTCCAAGCCCTTCAATCAAAGTGACACCAGCATTTTTCAGAATGTTCTTGTAGATACAAATAAGGCACTGAAATTCAGCATTCTTATTAGCCATCAGGGTGCTCCAATCATGCTTGGGTCCAGTTTCATATTTCCATCCAAAACCACAACTCTCTTCAAATTCATGAGAATATTTGGATGTGAACACATGTAGTTTCTTTGGTACACATCCACGAAACACGCACCTTCATGCCAAAACTATTACATTTGTTTACAAACAGAGAAAATTTTAGCATTGAAAACTTTAAAATATAAAGAATACTGATGATCTGTAATGAATTTGAACTGAATGAAAAGAAAATAACCTTATGCCTTTTCAAATGTATAAGTAGAATAGACATAAAGGAACTTGCTGGTGTGCTATTCAAACATATTTGGCAATGCCAGGTCAAATCAAATTCTTAAATAAAACCAAAAAAATTCAAATTCAAACATATGCAGCTGATAACAATCTGGCTATTTTGATCTCCATATTGTTGTCTCAAACGCATACACTAGTGATGTAATATGAATAAAAGAATTACTGCTGCACATATACAACAATCACACAAAGCAGACAAAGATGTACATCTTTTTTTCATATTTTTGTGTGCAAGAAACATCATCACTTCATGTGACTAAGGCAATCTACACCATAGTGATGTTAGCTCACTTACTCTTTTGTGATTCCAACTCCTGCCTAGAAAAATTTCCAAGAGAAAAATTACTAGTATAAGGAAGCTTCATGGCATTCAATGGGGATTGGCAAGATTCATGCAAAATACAACTGAAATTCTATCAGAAATTAGAAAACATCCCAATGCAAGTGGCCCTTATTCCTGAAGTTTGCATATTTATTTGAGTATCTGTACGTTCTGAGCATGAATTTGGGTATCAAAAGTCTTTCAATCCTTTTGCCCACTGAAACAAAGACAATGACAGAGCGGCCTGTGATTGAGTGATAGATTGATTGAAAATCATTTATAACATGAAATTATAGCAATTTAAACATACCACGGTTTCAGACACAATCAACACAATAACCCAAGGTTCTTACTTCCAAAACCTGAACTTGTGTTGTGGGATATTATAGCAATATCTTTTGGTTATTCCTATTAACTGCACTTTCAAGATCAAAATGACAATACAACTGCTTAACTAAAACTTTCTGATCACACTTCCTAACAGAATCACACAATGAATTCCACAAGAACCATCAGTTGAAAATTCATAAAACACCCATCGACTTCTCATTAGGGTACTCAATTACACAAACCACAGTCATGATTGCCACCTATCAACCGACTAAAAGCTTTCTTCGTGGAACTTACAAAATTTTGAATCAGAAAACGTGGAAGATGCAAGAAAACATTCTTTCCTCTCCACCAAACAATTGTATCAGTTTAGTTTAGCTTCTTCTACAAAGCATTCTCAGAGCATCTCCACTCCTTAAATCAATTTTTTCATCAAATCCAACTGTGTACGGCCCATGAAATCCAACTGTCGGACTTCGTCGAAGCTCCCAATTGTTTAATTAATTTAATAAAAATAAATAAATAAAATAAAATAAAATATTTAATTTTATAATTATACGTGCTGAAATGTAATTTTATTTAAAATTAAAAGCATTATTACTATAAAAACATAACAATATAATTAATATATTGTTTGAGACTAAATTAAAACAACCATAAAATTATCAAAATGTTTAGGGTTAGGATGAAATTAAGGGAAAGTAAGCCCAATGGTGGCATTCCCAGCATAAGCCACCTGTAGGAGGATTAATGAGTGGACGGTGATTCACCTTGGTGCTTAAAGGATGAATCGCCTCCTTAGGCTTAAGTATAAAAGGGGGACTGGAGCAGTGACTAGGCAGTAGAAGAAATAAATAAGTAAACAACACCAACAAACCAGCAAGACAGTACGGAGTCAGAGAAAACAGGATGAAAATAATAGTCTCAATATTAAGATAAGTTATATTATATTTTTAATAATCATAAATTATTTTATTATTTTATAAATTATTTTATGTAAATCATGTTTTTAATTGTATTAACATTTAATTATGTTATTTATTTTATGAGCCTTACTTATTTAAAATTAAAATCTAAGGTAAACTACTAATGAGTCTTAATAGTTAGAGTTAATTCTTATCAAATCTTATTGAAAATAAGTCTTGGTAAAATTATCGCTAAAAATAATTTTTTGTGATAATTTTTTACATTCGTCGCTAAAATTTATAATTAGTGACTTTTTTTATAATAAATCTTTCCAATAACATCTATTAGACAATAAGTCCACTTATTAGGACCTACATGTAAGTACCCCTAAAATATATGGATATTATTATTTAAATTTTGAAATTTATTTGACCATGAGTATATAACTATTTATTTTTATAAGTACCACCGCGGCAGTCTCATACCTTGGGGACTTAAATAACCATTAACCCTCTAAGTTGTCACTTTAGTGACCCTCTGACCATCTCATGCCTTGGGGGACCTAAATAACCATTGGTCTCCTGATTAGTCACTTCATGATCCTCTATCTGTCATGGATCCATTGATCCTCTATTATGTTTTGTATCATGGTTATGATTGTTTGTATTATATGTTTGTTATTCAAAATCATTTATTCAAACCAAACTATTTATTATTTAACTTAAATAATTATCCATGGCGATTTGTATATTCTTATGCTCTTGATATAATATTTCTCACTCTGTCATGTGCTTATAATTATTAAAACCCTTGCAGGTGAAGAAACTTAAGGAATAATGGTTTTACCTCATTGATCAAGACCCAAATTTGATATAAACATCATGTTTCTTTTCCTTTTTTTTCGTATTTATTTGTTATCTGTTACGTAAATAGTAATTTCCATGTATGTTTCAGATATTTATCTACATCTTTTATTTCATTTTGTTGCATTATTTAATTAGTTAATTCGAACTAATCTTAGAAATTTTAAAATTTAACTAGTTGTGAATCTAACCCTAGGCACGATATGCGTCGTGACAGAAGCAGTGATGAAGGCTATGGTAAAGATTAGCGAAACCGTGAGCAAAAGCTCTAAAATTAGGGTAGAAAAGCAAAAAGATGCCATTGAAGACACAAAAGAGAGAGGAAGAGGGGGAGAGAGAGAGAGAGAGAGTTTGAGGTTAGGGTTTCAAGAATGAGAATGGAAGAGAATGGTGAGTATGAAACAGATAGAGAGAGAAAGATGGAGGAGAAAGAGAGAGGGGTTTGATTATAGGAGAAACAGGTACTCGTGGATCATATAAGGGTAGTTTAGTCCTTTTGCAGAAACATGTCCTTATGGACATAGTAATTCAGTGGGTGGACTTTTAAACCGAAGAAATCTAAAATTAGATTTATGGACCGAGTACTTTAACAATTGTCTGGATTTTTTTTTTTTTTTTTTTGTGTTATTTAAAAGAGAAATTCAGAATTTGATATCAAAATTGGGAAATTCTAATATACACATCCTTGAAGGGGGCGTATTATATGCATCCCCTAATTATGTGATTTTCTTATTTAGTTATGATATTGTATGGGAAAGAAATAAACCTTCTCGTATAATCCTGTTGATCAAGTCTGCGCTCCTTCGTACGCCGTCGCTTTACTTCCTGAAAACACAAACGTGAGCTAGCCGGCGGGTGTATGCCGGAAACCTCTCCGATGCCTAAGTCAGCGCACTAGACAAATAGACAAAAGCTCTGCGTATTTGGAAATCAAAGTTGTGTTACCTCTCCATAGGTGATGTTGTGAGCTTTTATAGGTTCCGCGTGGCACAATCCTGGTAGGACTTTTACTCCTCCATGTAGAGTCCTCCTAGGATTCATACTCCTGAAAGATAATGCTTATCCTTCAACACCCCCTCACTGCATAAACCAAGTGAAATGGTTTTACCATGGTCAGACTTCAACATGACCGAGGTAAGCATGGTTATGCTAAGCCGCAGACTAGGCCGAGATAACATCAGCTCGGCACTTCCATTCACTGCTCCTACCTTGGCTCTTCTTAGTGCTAACCACGGTATGTCTAGACCGGAATAACCAATACTCCGGTCCAAACCGGTATAACTTTTGTGAGTGACGACCGAACTATCGTAAGCTCTTTGGGACCGGAGTAACTTCATGTTTCTCGCGAACCGAAGTAACTTTTACACCTCCCTTAAGCCGGAGTAATTTTATACCTCTCTTAAGCCGGAGTAACTTTATACCTCTCTTAAGCCGGAGTAACTTTATGGCCTTTTTGCTAAACCCTTCGCACTGAGACCCACAACGGCCCAACTTGGCCCAATTTACATATAAATTTCCATCTCAATTGCCCCTTAATTCCATCTGCGTAGCATGATATGGATTACCTGTCTACAAACCGGGCTAAAGTTTTAACCTTTCCAGCCGAGCTAAAAAACCCTTTAGCCTTCCAGCCGAGCTAAAAACTCTCAAGCTTTTCCAGCCGAGCTACATTTTAGCCGAGCTTATCCTTATCTGCCCAAAACGTCTCTTCAGTCACAGAAACTGAATCGCTTCCCATTCTAGTGACACGTGGCAGGCTCTGATTGGCCCTTTGTAGCTGTCACGCCGCCCTTGTCCTTCGCAAAATTTGAACAGTTCCCGCCATTAACCACAAAAACAAATCTTTTCGTTTTTCCTTCCAAATCATTACATCTTCCTATTCACCTCTTCTCTCTCTCTTTCTCGCATTCCTTCTTGTAACTAAGGAGCTCGTGTTCTTCACTGCCATTACTTCATCTTCAGTGCTTCTACCCCTTCATCTGGTAAGTCACTCAAATCCATCTTTCTTGCTTTTGTTGTTTTCGTATTTGCTTTATACAATCCACAGCAATCTGTTCATGTGTTTTACAAAACACTGTTTTTGCTTTTTTTTTGCCTTATTTTCTGGGAAAAAACTTCATGAAAACCCCATGAACTTTACGAAGCAATCTGTAGAATACTTTGTTCGATCCATAAACACGTCTCAGCCGAACTAGGATACTGTTTATGCTATGTGTAAACCTAGCCAGACCTTTCAACCGAACCAACACTTGTACCAGTAGTTTTAACAAGTCAAAAAACCATCTTTTTGATTTATCTTAGCCGAGATAACAAACCGAACTAGGTCTGCACTTAGTGTGTTCGAAGGCCTCAATTCCGACCGAACTATCTTGGGGCTAAACCAGCACTTTTAGTTCAAACCGAACTAAGAAAGCTGCCCCTAGAATTTCAACCGGTCTAACAAATCACTTGCCCCAACCGAGCTACCAAGCACCTTGCTGAAACCGAGATAGGACCTGCAACATTTCACAAAGCCGAAGTAGGGCTTAACTTGTTTTTACTTTGTAGCACGGTCTAAAGATCTGTGCTTAACACTTCTGTTTTTCACTTTGCAGACTTAGCTTGCCCAGGCACTCCTTTTGATCGCTCAACCGAGCTACACAGCAACATTTTCCGACCGATCTAGCACCAAGCATAATTTATACATAACTTAGGAATAAATGGGTAAATATAGGTTTTTAGTAGAAACACCAGATGGCTTGGCCGAATTCCGAAGGGATTATAACATCCCTAACGATGTCCACCTAACCTTAGCCAAAAAAGATGCTATACCTTGGGGAAACCAGGTCTTTGTACCCTTTACCCTTTTATCAATAATAGAAACCGGACTAAGATTTCCAGTCTAACCCTTAATTTGTGAATTCCTTAGGCAAACGAGAATATGCCCAACCTAGCTTTCCACCAACTCATACCGCATAATAATGGGCATAGTCGAGCTAAACCGCTGAGCTGGCATTAACCTTGGTTTAGCCGAAATCTTCCACCAGTACTTCATAGGGTCAAAAGAAGACGGCTGGGTTTACTATCTTAGAATACGCCGCCGCCGAGAAAAAATAATAAAAGACACACCGGACAAAGACTTGAATGATGATGACTTTTTCTGGGTGTCTGGCAATTTTGAAGACCAACAAGCCCAGATCCCTGGCCGAAGTATAAACTAGAATAAAGGAACACCTAGTACAATTACTTCGGTTTATTGGCATGCTTTGTTTTATTTCGGTTATCTGTTCCTGAACCGAACTAACAGTTTGTCTTCTTTATGTAGATTCAGCCCATCTAAAATCCTTGTACAGTTACCCCAACCTAAACACTATCCGCGCCGCACTACGTTTTCCAGAAAGAGGTTGGGCCAAACTTCTAAATTTCGAACCGAAGCGGCCGCCGAAAAGCCAGAGTAACTGACTTTTTGTTGGAGGACGCCCCCGAACCGGACCCAACCTTGCCACAAATTAACCTAATCCCACTGACTGCTAAAGAAGAAATGACCAAGAGAAACAGAGTCAAGGCCCTCTTGACCAAGACAAACAGGGCTGAGGTACCACCACTAAACCAAACACAAGAAACCGTGGTGGCCCTACCATCACAACAACCCTCTTCATCCCGCCGAACTAAGCGCGTCCGTACTACCCAGACCGAACAATGCTTAGTTGATGAAGACGAAACCACTTTGCCACCAAGCCCTCCACCGAGCTCTCAACCGGAGCACGCCGACCTAGCCAACTCTTCCAAATGGGCACCCAAACTAACTTTCCAGAACCGTGATATTTAGGCCACTGATTTAGTTGTCACTGAAAAAGACCATATGATGGCTTTCAACCTTGCCAAGAGTGTGTGCCTCCCAGCCGACATGGAACACCACAAGGACTTGACCGAGCTAAGGGCCATCCATTCGGCCACGAAATCAATGATCCTAGTAAGTTGTTCTTCTTGTCTCTCTAAATATCACTAACTTTCTGTTCAGTTTTGTCATTAGTTTCTTTTTCAGGCCGTGCAAAAGAGCCAAATTGCGCATGAAAAGGTGTTAGAGCTCAGGAACACAGCAAGGCAAGCCATGGCAGAGGTTGAAGCAAAAACAACCGAACTGAAGGAGTCTTACCAGAAAACAGCCGAGCTAGAGACCGAGGTAGCTGGTCTGACCGGACTAGTTACATCGGCCAATGCAGACAAACAGAAGGCCCTAACTGTAATGAAGGATAAGTACCTTTGTGAGCTAGTCAAGCTCGAAAGTAAGAAGGATGCCGAGATAGCGGAGCTGAAGAAGAAGGCAGAAGACGCCGAGCTCCGGGGTTTCAAGGAGGGTGAAGCCCTTTATATCAAACAATGCGAAGCAGCAAATGATTTATTCTTCAAGTGTGGCTGGAGAGGTGCTGTGGAGCAGCTCGGTTGTGGGCCCAAAACCGAGGTCTACAATGCTCCTCAGTATTTCATTTCGGCCTCATTGGCGGAGTATGCTGCCGACCTTCAGAAACAATTTCTTGAAGAAGGTGGAGATGAAGGCTCTTCTTCTGAAGATGACTCCCAGCCCGGTCGCCAGCCTACTCCTCCAATTCCAGTGATCTCCAATCCCCCAGCACCTGATGCTATAGTCGTGTCTCCAGCTGAACCGAACCCAGAGGAGCTTGTTTCAACCGAGCCCAACCGAGTTCTGGCTACGACCAAACTTCCTGTTGAGACCGGACTCAGAGTTGAGCTGGATGCTGATCTGGACGATCTTTTTAACTGATTTTGTATCTTCTTCTTTTTCTTTTTTTTTTTGCTCTTGTAACCGGGCTGTGGCCCCTCCTTTGTACTTGTTTTGAATTTGATCAATGAAAATCATCTTTTCTGCTCAACACTTATTCCGGTTTGATCTGTATGCTTATACTTGTAATGACTTTTCAATGACTTCTATTGCTCCAACTGTTATTTTGGTTTACTTTCCTGTTTGAGCATGCTTTCTGACTGCAACTTGAAACATATTATTTTTCGGCTGAGATACTTTATTTCGGTCTTAGCTGTGCCATCTAACTGACCTTACTAGCCAACCACTCTTTTGCCGATATACTTACTTCGGCTGAAGAGTACCAAGAGTGGTTTAATTCAGTCAATTACTCTTCAGCCTAAACCCTCACTTCGGCTGAAGAGTAATAAAAGTTTAA